TATCTCGACAGAGTCGGATGGCTCTGTGAATAACGTTTGAACTTATCAGGATATAACTCATCAGCCTTTCATTGAAGTCTCTTCGAACTAACCGCATCATGTATCTTTGCATTCAACGTTTGTTCGAAAAAGCTAAACATCAAATCGCTCGATCGATAGGTGAAATGTTGCGTTAAATGTTGGAATTCATAAGATTCAGTGGTTTTCAGACGATAACATTCCGTCGTAAAGTGTTACCGGCGGACACGGTGACCGATTTTCCGCTCAACAAATGCTACTATTTGTTGTTCCCGATCGGTGGTGGCCGCGTGCTGGCAAGGAAAAGTCAGGATTTCCAGAATCCGAAGACACCGATTGGCTATCATGACTTGTATCAACCGCGAGTATCTCGCACCAAAATTTGCATCTGTGATCAGGTAATCGCATTCATTTTGCAAAATTTCTTCTACTCACTTCTTCAATCAGCAATAACTCACTGAAATTAAGTCAAGAAGTTGCGTATAGCAGTGGATTTACATCTGAAACTGTTAAGAAGTAAACTGTTATTTTAACGAAACACTGAAAATTGATCAACCGAGATTCTGTGATAATCGTTCATTGAAAAATATCATTCCATTATCATTCAAAGTGTCATTCAAAAGTTGCATTTCGGTATAATTTCTGGTATACTCAACTTATGTAGTCAGAAATTTTCAGCAGTCATTTAAAAACAATTAAAATGAATCTCTTTCATTGTGTACATCAACTTTTACATTTTCCCATAGTTATTAAGCATAAATTTCGATATACATTTGTCGATCAACTACTTTGTATTATACATGGTATTTCAATTAAGTTAAAACTTTGATTTTATTGGCTTTCTATTTATTGGTAAATTCAGTGCATTGGTATATATTGCTGGGTTGTTTGTTCAGCGTTGAATGTGGATTCATTTTTGAGCTTTGTAAGTCGATGATTCAGAAACATTCCACAACTGGTGAGGAGAACAAAAATGAAATTCAATCAGATTTTGGTGTTGATACGCAAAATTGCGTTGTCTGTTTCGAATTCGAATAGATTATGCAAAAGATTCAATCGTCTTCAGAATGGAGTGCCGATAGCCTCAGAAGATGCACCTCCAGCCGTGCGTTCTCGACGTCAAGCTCAGGATCCGTTCGATTTGCAGGTCGATCCTTTCGTCGACACGCCACAAATCACCGAATCAGGTTTGTAATTCCTCTTTGCGATACGAGAATATCCCAATAATAACTTTAGATATGTTCAGATTCC